GCAGTGAGATAAAGCAAAACAAGACATAAACAAATGGAGTCCCTTTCGCCCCATTCATCAGTCTGCAATCAATGATAAACAATGGCCAATTATCACACTTTCCCAGCATTCCCCAGGCACCCGAGCTCGGGGATGAGCTACATTCACAGAAAATAGTGTGTTAACTAACTCATTAAGATAGGGGCAGGTTAATAGGGTCTCCGGTTCAGTGCGGAGTGTTTGGGTGGCAGCGGGTGATGTGATTTATGAGTGTCTGGTCTCTAGAGACTCCAGACCCTGATAAGACTCTGGATGAGCAGAAAAGTATGACGCAGGGTTACACACGAATAGTTACTCTGTTACATGAACACAATCAGAAAAACTAGACAGGGGACATTAAATGAACTAGATGACGTATTAGACAAGAAATGGCCAGAAACAGAACAACTGCACCGTTCAGATACTGTTGTTATACTGACATTGAAGGAATCACACAATAAAACACCCAGATCACATTGCACTGCAAAATGCAAATAGGAGGAAAAAAACTCTAAATGCATTTTCACTTAAATATTACAAAAAATAAATTTCATTGTATGGAAGTAAAGAGAATAAATAAATACATATTTTTATTTAAATGTTAAAACTAATTTCTAAAAATATGTATATATTATTGTTTTCCTTTGAATTGAAGTAATGTGACTGAAAACAAAAAAAAGGACGGACGGACGGAGGGAGGGGAGGGAGGAAAGAAAGAAAGAAAGAAAGAAGGAAAGAAGGAAAGAAGGAAAGAAAGAAAGAAAGAAAGAAAGAAAGAAAGAAAGAAATATGTATATATTATTTTTTTCCTTTGAATTGAAGTAATGTGACTGAAAACAAAAGGAGGAAGGAAGGAAGGAAGGAAAGAAAGAAAGAAAGAAAGACTTTCTCTTCTGGGGAAACTGAACACAAGTATTAATCATTCGAGAGCATATCCATTTTTTGTGTCCAATCTGTAGTTGTCCAAAATTTGGTCCAACAACTGTGACAGAAACTTAAGACTACTGGTTGCTGTCCAATCCAAACTAAATGACTCAAATATGATGACTTAAATAAATCTAAGTGCCACTAATGCAGGTAAGAGCCATGACAGGCTTTATTAGCCATGTGCAAAAAGTATTCCAAAGACCGTTGTAGGATATCAGACCGAATCAGACAATCTAAGATTTGGTCAAAACATGGTTGAAACATGAGAAGCCGAATTCCACAGAGGCCCAAGACAACAGGATGTTCATAAATCAGACCCTAGCACTAGCCAGTCTGAAGCAAGCCTAACCAACTCTTTCACAGAACAGCTTTCAACATTAACACAAAAGGAACACACTGATCATAACAACTCAGGAAGGAGATTGTCAATTTTAGGGCAAGTAATCAAGATTAAATGGTCAAAGAGATGACAGCATGACCCTCACGTGATAGCAGCCAATCAGCGACCTCGGGAAACCCCTTTCGGCAACCAGACAAGAAAGGGTACCCCGCATGCAACGCAAGTACCTCCAGATTCTAGCTGAACTGGTGCATTTAATATAAAGTTTAACCTCATTGAGGAACTCAATGCGAGGGTTAATTAAGTGATTGATGGTTGTTCAGATCTATGCAATTGCACATATTGCTGTAAACTTGGGATTTCACATTTTCATTCTCTTAAACTCATTATTTCCTCACTTTCTCTCTTTCTGCAACTTGTGTGAATGCGTGTGTTTATGTGTTAGATTAGTTTATATGTCTTAGATTTATCCAATAAAGTCTTATTCATATGGAAAAGAGAAGTATCTTGTGTTTTGTGCTCACAAGTTAATGTCTTAAACTGCCGATCTTGTTACTGTGCTAATTAATAGTGTTTTCACTATATTTTGGATATTAATATCCATTGACCTGTTTCCCTTACACCGTATTAACTCCGC